ACATACATACATACATACATAAGCAGATACATACATAAACACATACACGCGGGCGTATGTACACACCGGGGTTTCCAAAAGTCATTCGCCTGTTTTGAGCGTACTCATAATCAGACTTGTTAGGAAGATGAGGGGAGCCCCATTCCGAGAAGTACCTATATCTATGTAGTCGTACCTCCCATTGCAGGGACAATATTGGGCTAGAAGACAAGGGAACTAGAATTCAGCAGGGAATCAGGGAAGGGTCGGAAGAGGTCCCTTTGACGTTTGATCGTTCCACATGCCCATCCGTAAAAGTACGCCTCCTCATCGGCCCAAACAGCATCAGGGAGCTGCCTTCGCACCCTTACGTATGACTTGGTTTTAAAGCAGGCTTTCCTCAGATGTCTATGTGGAGGTTCACCACACCACCCGCACATAACCTTTAAGGGCTCCGTAGAATCCTCCCCACATGACACTGACTGAGCCTGAGACTGTCAAGCAACCCCATGGTTGCAAAATGCCAGCGGCACCGCTCCGGTGCCAATAGAAATTGCGTCCACCTCGTTCCAACTGTTGCCCCGTCTTCAGGTTATACTTGCTGTGGCTTATATGTATTGTTGCCCCCAAATGGAAGATCCCCAAGCCCACGTATGACGCGACTAGCAATCGTTTCCCCCTAATATAAAAAGACGTGCCCCCCCCTTTGAAGTAATCCAGGCCCGGAGCAATGATTTAATATAGGGGGTTGATATTTATTGAAGGAATTNNTTAGATAGGGCTACCTTTAAACTCCATTTATTAAATTCCATGGAAAATGAATAATTAATTAGACTAACTAATGAAATTGAATAGTTAATTACATAATTATTGAAATCGAATTGAATCAACTTAACATCAACTGAAATTCATTTCAGATTCCCTTTTAAAATCAATTGAAATCGAATTAGAATCCATTTAGAATCAATTGAAATCGAATGAAACTTAATTGAGATTTTATTAGATACGGCTAAAAGGGTAATAAAATCAAGTAAAATCGCATTCAGTTCTTGTATATACAATCCTTTATTAGAACCAGATGAAAAACAGTCAAAATCTAGGAAATGAAGGGGATCCCTCTTTCCTTTTTATTTCTTCTTATAGCCCCTATAATGACTTCAAAACCACCCTAATTCATTATTATTAGGTGGCCGCTTTGAAAGCAGTCTTCCCCTTTTAACAGTAGTCTTCTGCATTGTTAGGCCCCTGAATTCATCATTTCATATTAGGGGGATGTAAAATTGCATTGAGGGGAAGGGATCAGAATTCTCTTCTTCAAATTGGGCGCTTTGGAGACGAGGTAGGCCAAAGATAAATGCACTCATCGTTTCCATCGGCCGCTCGGGATCCAAGCCAAATCCCAAAGTGTCCTGAACACTACGCCTCGGCATTCAACCGCAGAACCCAAGCCTGCTGAGCGTCTTTGAGGCCACGTTGGCTACGAGGTGCCCACCGAGCTTTTCGCGCCCTTTGCTGCTCTGCCCAGCAACAGGGGGCCCTGAGAGACACTTTGCCGGTCGGTGTTTGGCTTCCATGTTTACCCAGACTCCACCTTAGTCTGTTTTCGGCGGACCCTTTTGTCAATCGTCCCGCTAGCCTACTGAGTGTTGAGGCCGAACTCTGTCCAATTTCTTTAATGAGGCCGGGATGAGTGCACGAAGGGGTTAGGCAATCGTTCCTTCCCTCAGCTCGATTGCCTGGGGTTGGATAAGAAGGTTCGCGGAGATGAGGCTAGAGCGTGTCCCTATTCACACCTGCCAAAAAACCTAAACTCTCGACAGAATCAGAAGGAGCTGGATGAAACAAAGCCCCAGCCCCAGCAGCTCAAACGTCGAAGCAGGGATCATTACGTGGACCTGGTCTTGAATTCCCTACTGGCCTTGCTGTTGTCGGATGGAGATGGGAGGGAGTGGATCATAACAGTGTTAGTGGTCCCTCTATGATCCCCTTTCATAGTACCAGCGCGTGGTAAGAAGCAAGTCAATCGTCCGAGGTCTCTGCTGCAGTGGATGTGGTCCGTGGGATGACCTCAGAGCCTGGGTTGTTATTGATAATCACTTGTCTAATAACAACTTGATAAAGACCGCCATCTGGTCACAGTCCAATTACGTAGTACGGTGAGCAAATATCTGTTATTAAGGGTTAGGGAGTTCATTATCAGGGGGAGGTGGTAACTAATGGAATCATTTGCTATACAATGCCGAGCTTTGGAGTGTTGCTTTTGGTGTTCCCTCATCAAGGTCATTATCTACATGGCGCTGACCACTGTTGCATTTCTTCTCCTTCACCATTTTGAAGCTCAGAATGTGCTTTTGATATCGCCGCATTTGCCCTTTGCCATTGTGACTCTTGCTCCTTTTTGGTATTGCGCGAGTTTCTACTGTCGCAAGTGGCATTCCTGCCAATCAGAACGGCTCTGTCCAGTTGTTGATTGGAACCTGCCACCCCTAAGCCCTCCTGACTCTTCAAGTAGACCATGGAAAGCCCAAGCACAAATCTACAAGCCGCATACACACATCGCGCACTCTGCAGGATTAACTTGCTTGATGAAAACCTGCATATTGTTTTGGGAAGGGCTCTTCAAACGGATGATGGGCGATCATGCCGCGAGCATGATTTGTTTTGGTAGCAATGCCCTATGTTTTTTGAAAAAGAAAGATGTCTTACTTGCTTGTCGCAGTCCACTGTTTATCACGTGAGGGCCTGTGGACATCGCATGTATTTGTACGTACAGTTATGGGCAGAAATTTAAACTGCAAACCATGCGGAGACATGGATAACTGCCTTGCGCTTCCCTTTCATGTCCCTAGACACCTAAGTCCCCCCAAGCTTGCAAAAGCGCCAACCCCTTTAGTATCAAGGCCCGTAGAAACCGTCAAGCGTTGCCTCGCAACCCAACATGCCGCAATCTGAAGAAAGATGCATTTAGTCATCCCTTAAATATACAAGTCGCTGTTGAAATCCCTAAGCCCCGTACACCCTATGAAGCCTTGCTGATCGAGCAGTTACCAAACAACCCCTAGGGCAGCGCCCCAATTTCATTATTCTCCCCATGTGCCTCTCCCTAAGGGTTCAAGACATCTTCAAACCTGCGCTCCAAGGATGACGTTGCTGAGGCTGCCTTCCGTTGGTCTTTGACCCTGGTCTCCAAGTTCCTGGGCAGCGATTCACGTTAGGCATTCGGGTGTTTGGCTTAGGGTCAGGAATTTTGGGTTCAGAGTTTGGGTTTTGGGTTTGGGTATGGACTCTAGGGTTGGGGGCTTGGAGCAAAGTAGAGCGAATGTGGGCTACATGGGTAAGAAGTTGTAGCTCCCACTTGGACGTTGAGGCTGACCGTCCAGGAGGTTCAGCATGTGGCGGTATTTGGGTCAATTCAGGGGTAAGTTTTATAATTGATGCATGTGGACGGATCTGCGAGGAGGGACTGCAGCTTTTTGTGTATTTAGTTTTAGTCTTTTGGAAAGTTATTCAACTGAGAGACAGGGTTGTAGGACGTCTTGCCGCATGACGGGATGGCAGACGAAGACCCAAGCAAGGATCATCACAGCCGTGTACTGGTGTGTTATATCCATGACAGGAAAGTTTGATTTAGCTTGCAATCTTCAATCCTGAGCTCAATTGGTCCCAGAGCCGCCAAGGATACTGGTGAGGACCGTGCTGGAAGGCCCGTGGACCGCAAGTTTCAGGGTGCAGGTTTCATCTTGAGCAATCAGATCAGGGATCCCAGCATTTGGGTCCGTTTTTACAGGACCAGGGTTCTTGAATCCGGGGTCTGCATTCAGCTCCATGCTTAGATTCTAGATGTACATTTTACGGGGTTCTAGCTGCCAGGCCAGCTGCAGTGCCTACCAGCAGGGACAATTCAGCACGATGCTGACCATGCCGAAAAGTCTTAGCTTTGTTTTATTTCTGAGGGTCTTTCACATGCGACTCCTGTGATAGTGAGTATTAGTATGTTCTGAGATCACTACATGAGCGTTGATCTACAGGCCCTTGTAGAAAAAACATGGATGGACCACCAGCATTGTAGGATATGTTTTCTCGAAAGAGTTTCCCGCTCAAGTGGTTTTACGTAATCCAACTTGAATACATGTCTGGGCTTTCAGCTCTCCTAGGCTATGGCTCGAAGGACTCTCAGAGCCAGATTTTTCATCTCCTTTGAAAGAAGAGCATCACTTCTTGGATCTGTTCTGTTTCAATCCCGTCCTTCTCTCTTAAACTCTTGGAAGCTTATCCGCGCTAGATATTCTTCGGGCCCTGTGCCTACAACACATGACACTAATCCGGACCGGCCACCTAAGTTCGCGAAAGTTTAGCGAAAGTTCTGTGTAAGTACCGCGTAAGCAGAGGTTACAACTTGTCGGCAAGAGATGGCAAGAGCTCACAGTAGATATGTGTGTGTACTATCTAGATAAATACATATACATATATATGTATATATTTAGAATAGTGAGCCAGGTACCCTCTCCGCACCTGTACATGTGGGTTGGAATCATACCTGGGGAGCCTTTCCAGCCTCCGATCTTGCCCTCGGCCTGCGCAGGTCTAGGCCTAAAGATTTTGGGCTGGAGGCTTTGGTGTGCAGGCGTAGATGATTAGGGTTCAAGTACGCAGGGAAGGTTTTGCAAAGGTAGTGGCTGTCTGATTCTATGCTGAATGAGCTAGCTATCCGAAGCATCCTTGGCGATGGTTCGCAAAAGTTTCGCGAAAGTTTTTTCTTGCGAAGATGGTCATTTCGGGATGCAGGAAATAGCTGCATTACTCTGTTTTCATATCAATATTAGACTATATATCATTACGTTATCATACGAACATTTTCGTTACTGTTACCCTTGTTGTGCAGGATGCGGGAACTAAGCCTGGCGTATACCCATCCAGTGAATTCCCAGCCCGCAGGCTCAACGATTGTCATGAAGGCCATCAACACCAATCAGGAGAAGGCTGGCCCAGCGCATTCTTTGGGCTGTCAACTGGGAGTGAAGTTGCCCAACAACTGCAGTCTTGATCCTAGGCACCGCTCCATAAGGGAAGATAATCCCTACACAAATCCTGTATAACATGTTCCCCTATTCCCTACTAAGAACCAATAAGATCAAGGGTCACTTACGCTTGGCTGCCGCTGGCTTTTGTAGCAGGTAGGATATCTTAACGACTGAAGAGCTTCGCGATTCAGACCGCTAGCATTCTTCCTGGATACTATTCATCCAGGCTCCCCCACCCGAAACAAATGATCTTGATTACATATTCTCTATATTTATATCTAATCTATCTATCTATCTACATCCCTATCACCATATAGAAGCCCCATAATCCTTCAGCAACCTCTAGAATCCAGCAAGGATCCTGACACACTGAGGACCCGAATCGTCCTAAACCCCAAACCCTACGCCTTGCAACCCTTAAGCCCTAGACCTCAACTCCTCCACCCTGAAACCCAAACCCTAAACGCTACAAACGTTCAAGCCTGAACCCTAGATCCTAGACCAGAATCCTCCTCAGGCGCTGAGGAAGGCTATCGCTGTGGCGCCGCGAGGTCGTCGAGCCACCGAGCTCCTGGAGATTCGGGTGCCCGGGTATGGGTTCGGGCACGCTTAGGGACTTCCCAAGAATTACAGGGATACAGGGAGATTCTTGTACGTACATGGCATACGGATTTTGGCGTTCAGGGTTTATGGCTTGGGGTTTGGGATTTAGGATGCATTTGGTCCAGGGTTTGCCGTTGAAGCGTCTTCCTAATTCTTTGGGTCCGGAGATGTCCGGAGGTTTTTTCATTGGTTGTTGGGGTTTAGGGTCATAAGTGCAATGTGGTGAGATTTGGGTCGCTGCATTTGGAGAGAGAGATGTAGACTCTTGGGTATGCGGGCTGAAGGCTAATTGTGTTGAGTATATGGGGCTTCAGGGTTCTTCGCAGTTGCATTTAGGGTTCTGACTGAATTAGTGGGCCGGTTTTCAGGCTGATTGAAACTTGTCCTCCTGGTGTTTGGAGCTATGCAAGGTCCCCGGCCAACGATTCCTGACACTTGTAGGATCTGGGACCTCCCTGACCTGCTTGTTATTCCCATACATCCCTGAGATCCCTAGGTCGGCTCTGTTTAGAAACCTTCGCATGTAATTACGGCCTGTTTTGGCCAGGAAGGACTTGCCCAGCCCTGGGACCCCTGGGGCTCAGCTCAGCTCATCCTTTGAACTTACATACTATGTTTATAATACTATTGCTAGTAATTTTTTACTATTATTAATATGAATAGAATTATCATAGTATTACCATCAACGTTACTATTATCATCAATGTGAGCCTCAGAGCCCTAAACCTGCAAGTTACGTTGTCTTAATGGGTTTGGGCGCCTCCCAAGCTTGAGGAAGTGAAGCCCTAAACCTGCTGTTGCCTTTGTAAGTCCTGTGCAGGTCCAAGGTCCAAAGATTTGACAGCCCCCACAGCAAGGGACACATCATGCTCAGTTAACTCCCTGGAAAGGTGGGTACCCAGTCGATTTCGCCTCTCTTCTGGGCAATTGAGAGTGGAAGCCTGAACTGTGGCAAGGCCCGGCGACCTGATATGGATTCAAGCTTTCTGGAGCATTTCCAGAAATGAAGCGAGTGTACGGGAGTTGCCCAAGTTGTTCAGGGCTTGTTGCCAACATCAAAGCGTAACATATCAATATCACGTCAAGTATTTACATGAAACCTCATTACATGAACCTCCCAATTAGTTTTGGTCAGGATGCATGTTGTGTGGAGAACGCACGGTGCATGTTGCGAGGCTGGTTATGTTGCATTGTTGGGATTCGTGAAAATGTCCCTGGCAGAGGCCCAGAATCAGACTATCGTAATGCTAGGAACCTCCCCTCAGTTGTGGCTCGTCCTTCTGCGTTTTCATACCTGAGTTTGGATCCGAAGCGCCCCCGGAATCCTCAAGGCCCACGGAAAATGCATCAAAGCTGAAGGGCAGCTCAGCGTTCTAGACCTCTGGGAAGGATTACACCCCATGTGCTAACTGCCCCCCGAAAGGATGGACCTAGGAACGCTGATTATTGTAGGGCTGATTATTTGTAGCTGCTAGTGTGTGGAGGTTCGCCCTTGGCCCCTAATCTTTCCCAAAAGCGCTGAAGTTGACAAGCTCTCAGTGCTCCAGTCGTGTGGTCCCTTCATCCCTCGTGCATACTTCTATGGACCTACGTAGTAGATGCCTTAAACCCTGCCCGACAAACTACTGAGGATGAGGACCCACTATGTACTTGAACTTTTGTCCCACGCATAGGTCTTCCTTGTGGGAATGAAGTGCTTTGAGCTCGATGTCACCAACCTACCAAAACACCAGAATGCTGACCAGGCGATGATCCAAGACTTACTCACGATCCGTGCGGACCGAGACAACTATTACTATGGCTACCAAGCCATATTGGGTCTAGCAAAGCTTTTTCCAGTCCTTTTGTTGAGCATTCTTGCGGATTCCAGCGCTTGTTTGGTTGTGGTTTTTCTCTGCACTCGGTGTGTCTGATATATTAAGGGCCTGTGGCCCTGCGTGGGCCTTCCATGCACTGATAGGTTTTTTACCCAAGGCCGTTCAGTGGAAGGCAAGCGGCCACTGCAACGTCTTGAGAATCAATACGAGCGGACAACACGGCCTCCGACACGGTGTCCAATCATTCTTGTTTGCCCAGCTTCTTTTGAGCTTTGTGTCCTACCTAGCCTTGCTTTGCTTTCCGGCAATGGACGGCTCTACCGAATACAGTCAAACTTCTGAGGAAAGATCGTCCTGACCTGAAAGCAAGCAAGAGTGATGAGGGGTTTCATGCGCCAGTGAATCATTTATGGTGCTGCAGATTAAGTGGCGTACACAGATTCAGATGGACAGCTCTCAAAAAATGGCTTGAAAACGTGAGGGCTCACGTGCTTGGGACATGTAGGGTGGGGTCTTTCCACTCTTGATGAGGGATGTTATGGAGACTGCTTCGTACTAAGGCTGCGACGATCTTTTTACTCGTCATCCGAATATTATTCAGAAGCTTTGCGCTGGCCTGAGCTCATGGGCCATGTAAGACGGAATTCATGCGTGAGGAGCATCCACGCGCACCTTTGTGACCACTCTGCTGCTTCACGGGCAATTAGCCTGGTCGCTGCATCAATAGCATCCAATTGCAACACCTGCTGGAAGAATCAAACAGTTTCGCGCCGTCATAGAAGTTGTAGCAGATGCAGAAGAAGCAGTTAGTAGTACCACCAGTACAAACATAACCTACCAGCACTGGAGCTGGAGGGAGTGCCAGGATCATCACAGGAAGCTTTCGTGGCTTTGTCGTGAAATTTCTTGGGAGTTATTTCTGAGGTGCTGAGTCGCCAACGATGTTGAAACCTCTTCTGGATGGCTTAGTCTGGCGGTCACGCATCACCTTTCAAGGCCAGGCTGCAGCACTAGGAGTGTTGATGCATGAGAACTGTGCTAGTATTATGCATGTGGAAAGGATTGTCTTTGCATCTGACTGCGCTGCATGAAGTGCTCCATGTAGTTGGGAGTCAGAGGTGCCATGGTGCCAGCTTGTGAGCTTGCGAATTTCTCCAATGCCTGCCAGGCAAGCGGCGCGTCAACTATTACCTCAAGCGTCCTGCCCAGAAGAGGGGGGCAGTTCTTGGAAGCCAGCTGCACAACATGCTCGTGGTAAAGATGATTTTCATTCCGAAGCCAACAGACTAAAAGCGTGATCTCTTCCTGCTCATAGAGTATGGGATAGAAGGAAGGGTTCAAGAACTCAGTTGCCTATCCCTCGTGACAGCATGCCTGCAGCAAAGGCACCTGGTGCAGAACCAGGAGGGCAAATTCAACCAGGCTGATGCAGTCAAAATGCTTGCCTCTGTTTGTGATATCAGTACACATCACTTCTGATCTTTCGATTTTCAGTGTTTATCACTCATATTGCATTCTGCCGCCTGATCTTCGCGGATCTTCGCACTGTTCCGCCTCTTGAGCGGCAGTCCAGTAAGTGGTAAAGCTGGTAAGGCTTCAGGGTGCTACTGTTTCTTGGGACCGGTGCCAGGCGGATAGACTTAATAGTGCGGCCTCATAAAAAGCAAGGCCCGCTTGCAGAGTGCTCCTCATGGAGAATTCTCAGAACTGTGGGCTCTTGCTGGGGGTACCTCACAGGGACCCTAGAACCTTACGACACCTGCAACACACCCAGTTTGAGACGCTCAGACAAAATCCGTCAATCTTATGTTGTAAGCACAGTTATAGCAACACCCAGATTGTAGTCTGCAAATGCCTTTCTTACACTTACTCCGCCTGTTTTTTGAGGTACGTAGAGAAGCTGTATTGGGAACTCAGTTTCAAGAAAGGCCTTGTTCGTTGTTCTTGCGTACATTTTGCTTCGCTGCTGCTGCCACTACTCTCCCCCCAGAATCATTGCTGGTTAAGATCTTCGTGTTAGCCTTACGGAGCTTCTTGGAGGGCACTTTCGAAGTAGCTATCTAATGGAATAACCAGGGGTATTGCATGACTTGATGGGTTCTAAGTATTCGTCTACTTATACTTGCTAAGTCTCCCCGACCCCAAATCCTAATTCCTAAGCCCGAAGGCCAACTAGCTAGAAGTCCGAGCGCTTACAGAAAACCACCCCAGACCCCAAACCCCTAAATCTCGGCTTGCCGGGGAGGCCTTGGAGTGGCTCTGTGACTTCAAGGACCCGAAGATCATAAGCCATTCAGTTGTGGAAGCTCTGATGCAGAAAGTATCGGACGACGCAATCTTTTTCTTATGGAGAGTTGTGTTTCTATTTTTCTTCTTTGGGAGAGAGGAATTTCAACAATCAGTATAAGCCGCCTTGAAAAAGCATCAGCAAGTTTTGTGGACAGCTGTGGCTCAAGGTCAGACCCTTCTTTTGTTGAAAAGTATGAGTATGAGGCGCCGTCATCGGCGCCAAAGAAAGTTTTTTCTGCGGGTTTTGCGCTCCTGGCTGTGGGATCCATGTACTATACAAGGGCCATAAAGTTACTGGCCTTACCTGGGGGACCTCCATGGGAACCAGGCGCTCTTCGCGGACATTGTCTGGAATCGCCTGGCGATGTATTACTTCCTGCTCACGAGACTTGACAGCAGCAACCACTTGTCTCAGCACGTCTCAGGCCCCTCCCTACAAGGAGGACATCTAGCAACACCAAGCTGCGTTCGAGGAATGATCGGTGGGCCTTTTTGTTGGTCACCGTTCGTAGTGGCATATGATGACATGCAGCTTGCGGATGCTGCTAGCTTTTCTAGCAGAGATGACTGTGCTTGACTCCAACAATACCCATACTGTCGGATTCCTGAACCATCCACCCTAAGCCCTAAGCACCAGACTCAGACCCAAAGCGCTAAGACCCTGAAGTTTCCTGACCTTTCTGCGTGGCAAGGAGACTTTACTTCCTGCTGACACTCTGTGTCTTTGCTACCAGCGGCTCGGGCATGAGGTACCGTCTTGTTATAGATCCTTGTAATATTATAGGTGTTGGTGAGAGTAGACAGTCGGGTTCCTTAGGCATACGTTACCAGATCCTTGAGGGTGGTGCCAAGTAGTTCCCAACATTCCCTAACCCTCCCCTCCTCGTATGTCCGGATTTCTCAGGTCTGAATCATGGAGCTGTGTATGGGGACAGACTTGAACGAATGCCCTTAAACACTTTTGAAGCTGCAGTACCACAGGTGGGGTCTTCTTAACAAATCAAAGAGTACAGCATGGGCCCTTACGAGGCAGCCCATCCCTCCAAAACACCCATAATTCAGAGAAGCCCGAACCCTTAAAGCTGGTTGCAAACCCCTCATTGCCCCTTTCATGTTAAAATGGACATTTAAAGAAAAGTGGTCAAGCACCAGAACAAGCTGCAAACCCTAAGCTCAAAACCTTACATCCCAACCGCAGAGCTGCAGGACAGAGAAATATGTGTCCAGACAAATCTTCCACTTACCCTGCAGTCTGAGGCCGAAACCACTGACTCTGAATGAACCCTACCGGAAGGTTTATTGGTAGTTGCAGCTATACGTGCCTCAAGTGGGTTAGAATTATACAGGCTGAAACTCCAACCCTACTTATCTTATACATGCCGGTGAAGCTCCCCGTGAACCTCTCTTCTATGGAGGGAAACCGCGCTCCTGAGGTCAAGCCTTGCTTGGCAGTCGGCAGGCAGCGTCGCTGACTGAGGAGGATGCCTTGGGGTTTAGGATTTAGGGATGCATTACAGACTAGAGCTAGTTTTCAAGACCTGGGATTTCCAGGATAGATCTCATGGACGGCAGAACTATGACACCCACTGGCAAAGATGATGGTAAGGAAAGCAAATGTAAGCATTGTTATATTAGGAGTAAATAGCAGAACGTGGGCAGCAGTAGCAACAGACTTTCGGAAGGGCAGGAGTTGTTCTCCATATGCCGCGGACGTTGTGATGACAACGACGCTTCCTGCCATCTGCAGGAAAACATTGCGATCTTTGCGTGTCGCTGTTTCATCTACCTGGGCAGCATGCAACTCTGCTTCATGGTTGTGGCAAAATGGCGATTTCCTCATATACTCCCAAAGTAGCAGGACCGCTGAAATGACCCAAAGGTGGTTCTGGTGCTTCTAATCTTAAGTTGACTCCCAAAAGGCTTCGTGTTGCAAAGTCCTGCAGACAGGCACTGTAATGTATTCAAACAGGTTTCAAGTGCCAGCTGTTGAGGAACTCCGCCTAAAGACACTGCCCCCATGAGATGCACCGCAAAGGGGAATCCTTTGGAGTGGGGTTCCTTCAGGTTTAGTAGTCATGCTTTAGGGTTTCAGAGTTGTATCCCTAGCGTTGTACCCTGGAACCGGAGCCATCGTGCGAGAACCTTTTAGGCATATGACCTTACAGGTACAACCCACGAGGCGAAGGCCTGCCAATAGACAGCAAATCATTCCGTGACGTGGGCAGCAGCAGCAGCGGCGGCGGCGGCGGCGGCAGCAGCAGGAACAACAACAACAACAACAACAACCACACCACAACCACAACCACCACAACGACAACAACACTTGCCGTTTTCCCGTATGAGAATGTCCCCGCTTTGACTGCTGCTGCGGCATGCTTCTTCTTTGTCTTTACCTGTCTTGTTTTCTTGGGTTGATTTTGATGGTTTGCATCCTCTGTGACCACTTGTGTGCATGGATGTAGGACCTGTCTGCTATACTTCCTTTGCGTGGATTGAAAGCACTATCACCGGTACTTACTCTGTTCCAGCGTAGCCACTTGGAGTAGTTGCAACGTTGACTACACAGCATGTTATAACGGCCCCTAAGATAATCCCACGTCGGAGTTTCCCAGGAGAATTTCTCAAGGTCACTCTCATGCATGCATTGTTGGTTCAGATTTTGTTAATGCTCTAAGTCCTGCATCCCCAGCAGTCCTGTTTTTGATAACTCCCCAAGTATCCAGAGAGTGTGAGGTGCCACCTCTTCGTACGTGCAGAACTCAGATTGGGGTCTAGGAAGCCGGCGGCGCTTGTTGGCTTTGGGTGGGTAGTCGATTTCGGACCGACGTGATTGTGAGCTTCTGAAGTTATGATCGGGTAGTATCCTATAGTTTCTCAGTATACATGCACGCTAGTGTTTTGATATATACCTTCCTGGTGTTGAAATGCTATGTCATATTTGCCTACATTTATACGTTGTCTGTCTGCAAAGCAGGTCTACTCATCCTACTCCCAACACATACCACCCACAAAAGGAACAATGATGCCAGCACCTCTTGAAACAACAGCCCCAAGCTGACAAACCCTAAGCAGTTTCTGCACCTAACAGGCATCAGTAGGAACCCACACTTCTCAGAACCCTGCAGTATGTAGTATGTTTCCTGTTGTTGGACGCAGCTGTGGCTTGAGGGGAGACGCGACTCTTCGTGAACGATTGGCGGCATGGAGCTATGGAGAGGCTCGTAGCCGTAGCACTTCTTCGGTTTGTTAGTCACATGATTCTTAGTAGAGAAAGAGACGAAGCCATTAGATGTTTACTGTGTACCCTTGCCCTGCGCCAACAGCCTCAATGATTGAGCTAACTGATCTATTACTTATCCTGCGACGCAGGCCTCAAGCTTGTAATTAGTCAGCAGGGTGCCATTGTCTTCTGGGAGTTTCTCAAACCATCTCCCTCCCATACACCTAAAAATCATACATTGGGGGTAGCATAGCCAGCGATTCCGTGTCCCAAGCAAGATCTGCCAGATGTTCCGCAAGGTGCGCTTACAAATAGTTTCAGTGCATGGAACGTGCATAGTCAGAGATAGTTGCAGTCAAATCACATTTCTTTGAGTGAGCATTGCTCTAGCATAGTTCCTGGAATTCTTTTCGGACACGGCGCCTGAACGAGCCGCGCCTTGTGGGCCAGGCTTTTCAGCAAGATACCCATTCCGGAGTTCCTATGCAGCACCATGGCAGCAGCACGAGTCACCGTGCTTCAGGCATGACTAGCGTCATAGTAATCCCCGTTCTATATCTAGATGGGGCAGTCCATGTTGCGGTGGCGCTGCGCAGCCTCCAGTGGGGCAGAGCTGCTAACCCCAACCGTGAGTTTCGGATGACAACGGCCGTATTGACGATCATCAGAATACGGATAACAGCAGCAGAGCTCTGGGCAACTGCTCCTTCCAATAACCAACATGCCCCTTGCATCAGGCACTTCCTGCGCAACCCCAAACAGGATGATGGGGAGGTTGCCAGAGGTGCTTAGTACTCGGAGGGAGCGAGCTAACACCGCTAGGCAGGTATGCTAAAGGTGCATCGCAGAATTGAAGCGACATGATCCCACCTAACGCCATCAACTACAGGACTAGAGGTTTCGATTTATTGCCGCATATACTCCGTTGCAGCTTATTTTTTCTAGACCTTAATGCCCGGAACCCCAAACCGCGGAGTTCAGGATAGCCAGAGCTCTGAGACTATTCGCGAGAGTGGCCTTAGCGGTAGCATACTTGGTGGCAATTCGTCAGCCCCCCTGAAAACATTAGCCATCTTGCCACCAAACGTGAATACTCCCATGCAGCCACAGGATGGGATCCTTAGTGCTCCGAAGCATCGGGCTTCCTGAACCCTACTCCCTTGACTCTGACCCCTGAACCCTGACCTCTGCAGCTGAAGGTGGCCAAGAGCTTGGCAACATGCTGCTTCTGTGGATGCTGTCCCCAGTCTGCATGGGGTCTATCCAAATTCTAGGCCCTGTTAGTTTAGATTTTGGAGGAGGGCCCCAGACAGGGGTGCAGTTTAGAAGCCTCCCGTGTGCTGAACTAGAAGCGGTCCTGCCAGTCTTGCCGAGCGCTGCTCGCGACTCAGGATCTTCATGTGCATCCAGGAGCCCATATGGTGGTGCATTCCCGATACATACGGTGACTTTCCTGGGTCTTGCCCCCAGCTGTGGGCATCGCCCTCTCGGCATGTGTGCGCCCCAACATATAGCCTCTCTGAAGCAAACACGGAAGCCTGGATTGCTTAGATATGCCCTGTTCTTGAAGCACGGTCGTCCTCACAGATGTGTTGGGTCCTATGCTTGTTTTGGGCTCTCTGACTTGGAGGGATCTCCATGAACAAGTTGTGCTATCCAGAATTGGCCTCACGATTCTGAGACCCTTCCCTTGACGCTGTGCCATATTCACATTGCACTCTCTTCGACGCTGCAAACATTACATGCATCTTAGGATAAATCAAGTGACCCTCGCGCGTTGCTAGGGCCGGCCTTTTCACCAGCAGCTGTCCGGCAGGCGAGCAACACAGAGTTCCTTGGAGAAGCTTATGACTATCGGCCTTGGGTAGGGAATTGAGTCAATTGAGTGAGGAAGGCAGGAATGGATTTTCAGAGCAGGCCCCACATAATCCTTAATGTGTTCTGGATCCCGGTATTTCCATTCCTGCATGCCCTACCAGCAACCAGCAAGTATGGGGTCTGTCAGACCAGGGGAAGTTTCGTTCTTTGTCCCTTGGCTCACACCAGCAGAGGAATTGCAGGCCGTCAGTTGGCCAAATCCCCTGGCACAAACCCACGTCTCGTACGAAATAGCAACATATGATTGCACGGACGTTCCGAGGTAGAGCCGCACATTTCTGACAGCCGTAGTCGTTGAGTGCTTTGCTGTATGCAGCTTTTCTTCGCACATGCTCCTGAGCCACATCAGGTAGGCAGGATGCCCCGTGCAATCTACCCCACGCTGATGAGAACTGTGCCAGCCAGCCCGTACCCACAAGCTGCTGAGAGCTGCAGACCCGCCTCACACTGTCGAAAACATGTATGGTACCTTCACATTCTTTGCGACCCCTGAAGGCTCCGGTGTATGGCTCGGCGATAGTCTGAATTTTTTGGATGCTGGCTAGCGCTGCATTTTCGTCCTTGTGTAAGTCTGTCGAAGAGTACCAGTGCAAGATACCTATCAAGGACTCTTCAGATCATCGCTCGTTTCCTGTACATCCCTATACATTCTCTGCAGCGCGCCCTGTTTGAAGAACCCGAAGCCCTCAACCGCAAGACCGTGCGGCTTTGTCAGGAAGCCTACGCCGCGTTCTCTTGCACCTTGGCAAAACTTGCTTGCATCTACCATCAAGCAGTGTAATTCAATCTGAGGGCATTGATGGGCCGTTGCAAGCCAAAGATACTTGTGCGCAGGTGCTGCCATGCTGCTCTACTGCCTCTTGATTTTGGATCTCAGCATTGTTTCCATGCGAATCTCTGCCTTCGTCCTGGTGTGCGGCCGGGTCATTGTGGAAGTGGGGCTGTTCTTGTGCCTTGGCTGTGGTTATCTGATGTTATGTGCGCATGGCGAGACAGACCGGTGAGAATCACTCAACGTTCAGCATTTGCGACAAAGCACAACGTTGACAACGTGTGCAACGTGCTTTCATGAAATTTGAGCGGGAAATCCATGTACCAGGGGTCCGCTGCACGTACAACACATAATCACGGATCTGTGGTCTCTATCGCTGATGAGCACATCTGCTTAGCCAGTGTGGAGATAACTTTGCACCTTCAAGAACTCAGTCTGGTAGGCAGCTACCGACATTCACTAAAATCGGATGCATCTACGTGACTTGACGTGTTGGTCCTCATATTTCTGGGTAGTTACTGACACGGCACATTCGCTACACTTTCATTCTTTGCCCAAGCCAGATGCCTGGAGATACCTTGTGAAACAGCTTTGACACAGGAGCAAAAGTTTCCCGTACGGTCGACCAGTACATACAACAGTGACGATACTCAGACACAGGGGTACTGGTAATGCAGTTTCGCCTCACATTTGATTATTCCACGTGCCCATCAATTGCGGCAGAAAGCTTGATTGCAGCCCACGTGGCGATCATGCCCTAGTACATTGAGTTGAGTTGTAGATATCATCAATTGCGTGCAGCAACTTCCGCACAAAGTCCAAGTCCTGCACCCCGAGACTTCAATGGTCCATGCCTTCAAAGTCTTTGGTCTACCTCTTGTAGAAAAAGGGAAGGATTGCAAGAAGTCGTTCGAAGATGATTTAGAGCCCTTTTCGAGGATTAGAGAGACTCTACCATGACAGTCTGTCAGCATGCCTTGTATTGCCTTATTTCACCCCAAGTGTCCCTTTCTTTATTAGCAAAGCTGCTATGAAAATGAAGCAGGGAAACTGAAGATCTTTGTCAGCACAAGCGACATGCTCGTGCTACTGCTCCTCCTCCATCTCCTACGACTCTTCCTCGTACTGTCACCTATCGCTGGGTGTTTGTGATGTTTCGTAGGATGGCGGCCGCCTTCCTGATCCTGTCCTTTGCCTTGGGAATTAGCACGCTCGATCGGCAGAGCCCGAGTTTTGAGGGCACGGCACCCAGAGTCATGGTTGTGTCAGGGGGGGGGGTGAAGTTTGGAAGCTCCAGATTCAGAGGCGTGACTTCTAGGGAGACTTGCGAGGGAAGAGTAGAATTGCATCGTCCATCCCAGCTTTGTGAATGGCTTCGGAACAGACGTTGCCCTGGAGCGCCTGACCTAGACCGTGTCAATATGTTTCTTCGAGACCACATTCATTGAGAAAATTGTCAGTTAGAGATCTAGAGACCGCCGCCCAATTCTCAAACTCGAAGGCATTGGCAATGCTGCCTTCTCGCTGTTCGCCATGACTCTGGGGCTTTATCCGAGCGACAATCTCAGCGAGCTCAAGGAGCAATGCCCTGATTCTGGAATGTTCCGCTTGGAGTATTGTTCATTTGGGTCTCGCTGGTATTGTTGCAGTGATGGTCAAGGAAGGCAACCACCACCGCCGCCATCACATACAAACAGCACCACATTGCTGCTACCTCAACGCCACCGCTGCCACCACCGTCCAGCCCCCACCACATGCCCCCCCCCGCCAACGCTACGTACCACGAATGTCGCCACATCATCATTCATTAGTATTGTGATGGAGAAGGTCTGACAGGATGTTGGGTTTACTTGTTGCGCAACGTGATTACTCGTACCTTTTCTTTCCTCTTCTCCGCAAAGGCTAAGTCTAAGTTCACCGCGACGGAATTGATATGAGTGTCTGCGCACATGTGGCAGGACTACGTGGGCGTGCTGATCACGGTGTCCATTTTCACTATTCTGATAGCCGTCTTCCTGTTGTCCCTCGCAGAAAGTTTAGCATGCTTCCTCTTGATTTGGACGTGGATTTGTGAGCCTGCACTCTTCTACCCGCACCTTGTGCCAGCTGGCCCACCATTGAAGACTGACCAGAAAGTGTTGGAAATACCTAGACCTAGACCTGGACCTAAACTCTATTGAATGAGTGCAGTTCTGCTTAGCCTGGAGTAGATGCCAAGGAATCTGCTGATCGCGCAGCTGAACCAGGCATATCAGATCATTTTCCCAGACATGCAGGGATATGCACGCCGGGGACTGAGAGGACACCACTAGCATATCGATTGCCTCCGGTTCAGCCCAAGATCTTGGAAGAGCCAAGGCCTGAATCGAGCTTCAGTGATTGTGCAGGGACCTCGGTGCCGATGGGTGTCTATGTGAGTGTCCGAATTGCTGGGCGGCTCATGGTGTCCTTCGATCTGCAGCCAACAGTCGCATGAACACATCACATGAACTTATTATCCGGCTCGAGGCGATTAATTTCTAGTTTCATCTAGTGCGTTTAGTGGTTCCTGGCACAGGACATGTCATCATACCGTCAGAGCTCTCCAAAGGCGTTTATGAAAATCTCTATATGATCGATCCTTCATCCATGTAACATCACTCTGTCGGCCGGGGTCCATGTGTAAAAGCAAACCTTGCAGAGGTCCACAGTCGATCAGGTGTCACAGAAAAGCCGCGCGCCAAGTCTGTTGATGAAGAACAAGCAGAACCATATTGTTGGCTCACAGAGAGTACAGCCTATATGCGAATGTATGGTACGCACGCACGCACGCACCTACAAGGTTTCGGGAATGAGTTCCTGCAGACTGCAAAATTATTCCTCCTCCTACTCCTCCTACTCCTGCTACTGGTAACTTTTCCATTATTGCGATTACTTCTCCAACTATGACTACGACTAGTATTGTTATTGGCGACAGTACTAGTAGTTGTAGTAGCAGGAGGACCACTATCACTACATTTCTTCCTTTAAAAACTGTTGCTTTGGACACTTCCCTGACATCACAGGATGGTCCCGCTTCCTCCAGAGCTTGAACTTGGACGAGCGCCTAGAGTTCAACGAAGGCGATGTGGGCCTTGCAGGCCGGGGGATCAAGGGCTTCGGGGACCTGCGGGGCTTGCGGATTCAAACAGTACGGTTGTGGAGTTCAAGAGCTTGGGAATGTACAATAGTGCACAGCTTCCACTTTGACGGGGTTGGGAGTGTGCCCTGTGGCACTGCGATGCGAGTTCTGCTGCACGACATAAACAGCTGGCCTTGATAGCAAGACTTATTTGAATCGCATTGGCTGACGTCTCTTTTGCAGCCTCAGGAAATATCCTAGTCGTGAGGCTTAACAACCTCCACCATAAGACCCCATCCAAGTTGCATCATAGCCACATGATAGTCAAAGAGTCTGAGTTTTGGGCTAAACCCGTAGTCCCTTTCAGTGGTTGACGATTCCGCCTTTGCCAGGTGGAATCCAAGTCATGGAGCCTTCGTGGGCTTCTCGCCTGAAAGGAGAGAGGCATTACGACACTGTGAAATCAGGATCACAGGCAGACAAGCTAGCAGCAACTTGGAAAGTCGGAGCGTGGCGAGGGCCAGCAGGAGAGGGATCAGGAGGAACAGGGAGAAAGAGCATAATTAATGAACAGAGGGAGGAGGAGGCGGGGGAGTTGTATGGAGGGACGAGAAATCGAAGTGGCAGACATACGTGACAGCAGCCCAATAGCCGCAATGAAAGCCAGACTGGCTGTGGCAAGTCGTATGAATGCTGATGGCAGGAACGGCAGGAGTAGCTGTAGCAATGCCTGAGAGCAAGCAGTTTCCATATCGGAAGCGCTGGCAAGCAGTTGCGCTGAGAGCAATGGTGGTGTGGTGAAGTGCATATGAAAGTCGCGCATTGCTAGTGGTAATTGTGCTGCCAACGGTGCCTAGCGTGCTGGTGGTCGGGCCCCAGCGGCGTTACCCAGGTAGCCAACACTAATTACAACGGCCTCAAACAGTTTTCTGAATTGTGACTGGGATGCGGGCCGCTCCAGGTAACATGGATTCCCAAATTTCATAGTCTTTTTGAAGAATACAAGGAACATCCTTAACTTGCTCATGGTACATCAGCCATTTTAAGCATGTGTTTTCCCAGTCGCAGCCAGGCAACGTCCTCCCTAGGTTATCATAATGCAGGCCCGTGTGTCAGGCGTCTTTGCTACGGCACCCTCCTCTCCAAATCAAATCAAGAGCCGCGTCGATTATCTTGAACTCAGGCCAATCCAACCACCGCTTGGGCCCCAGCCTGCCATGATTTTGGGTTGCTGGATGGGTTTTCCTGGCGAGTACATGCTTCCCCAAACATACCTGTTGGGGTCTCCACAGGTCCATCAAGGCGTGCATGTTTGTTTGGGGAAGCTGTCATACGGCCTTGGCAGATGTTGACGTCAGAAGGCATGTGGAAAACCAAGATCCTGTGGTGCAGGATGCGTGTGTTTCTGATACCCTCTGCGCCAGTATGGTATAGTGTAGTTAGCAAATTCAATTGCTTAGGTGCCATAAACAGATTTTTATGCAGAGGCAGGGTTGAACCCGTCTTGGCACATCGTGTATGTGTATATATAAGACAAATTGCATATACGTGTAGGGTACCCCCAAAGGAGACACAAATTTCACAACCTTCCATTTGACTAGGTGGACTCCATCCGGCGCTTCGGTGGCTCCACGTCAACGACCATGCCTTGGCCAGAGGATGAGAGGCAGTACAGCGACGAGGAGTTTTGAAGGGATTCTTCTTCTCCTACACAACCCTATTCCTACATTCCTGCGACATCCTGCGACTGTACGGCTTCTCGTACTGCTGCTTGGTGCTACTCGTGATGTGCCACCGGTACCTGCTGCTCCTGCTACTGTTCCTGCTACTGAAGCTGAACTGCTTGATGCCACTGCTTGCTGCTGCTGCTGCTGCTGCTGCTGCTGCTGCTGCTGCTGTCGCCGCTACCGATGCTGCTCCTGATGATTCCTTCTCTTACTCTTAATCCTTGTGCTTTTACTGCAGGTTTTGCTGTTACTGCCGCTCCTGTCATTACTGCCGCTACTACTGCTACTGCAACTGGCACTTTCACTGCTGTTGCTACTGAACAAGATAGCCGCAGTTTTATCGGATGCTTTTTGTTTTCAGATGACCACATGTCCTTGGCACCCCTTCAGCAGTCGTCAATGAACCAGTAGGAGAGCGAGTAGGAGTGGGAGAGGTAGGAGCAGGTGCACGAGTAGTTGCTCGCAACCACCGCTGCTGCCACTGCGACCGACACACCGGCACAGACACCGCCACTGCCACCGCCTTTCGCCGACCATGACGACCACGACGACCACGACAACCACGGCGATCACGACGACCACGACGATCGCGACGACCACGACGACCGCGACGGCCACGACGACCACGGCGACCGCACCGACCACAGCAAGCGACGACCACGACCACCATGCCGCCGACGAAGCTGACAATATTAGGAAGGTAGCAGATGTAGTCGCCAGCATTATAGACGTCCTATGAGTGTGACATGCGGTTTGGTCCATCCAGGACCGCTTTGAACGCCTGGAGAAGCTGCCGCTTTGCTTACCTCTCTTTTCTGTGGTTGTGCATAGTTGGCAAGGCTGCCGCCGCCGCCGCCGCAGCAGCAGCAGCAAGGAGGAGGAGGAGGAGGAGAAGGAGGGTGGAGGAGGAGCGCCAGCAGCAGGTGCAGAAGGCAGGAGGTGGAGCTATACCAACAACCAGCAACGGAGGGATAGTGCAATGCTGGAGGTTGTGCCACGTCGCTATTGTGTCAGCCACCAGGCACTCAAGATAGTGACCATGTAGGAAGACCAGTCATCACCGCACTCTAGATACATAGCAGTTAGCCCCTCAATATCCCATAGATCAGCCGCAGCGGTTTTGCCAGCAATGGCTATAACTGAGACAGCTGTACTTGCGCATGTATTATGTAACTGATCCATTTATAAACAAGCTTGCGACATGGATCAGAACCACCCCCGTCCACTGAGGATGATCCGGGCCACAAAGGGCTCGAGGAAGAAGGGCCATCGCACGAGTGGTCTCAGCAGCGGGGGTGCCACTTCCAACAGTAGTGGAGGCACCATGTTGCAATCCATCTTGCATGCCTTCTCCAACCCCACAGCAGTTGCACCAAAGAATGGATCTCGGTTCTGCTTGGATACGTACCCAGCTGTATACATGGCTGTTTATGGGTTTTGCCATGATGATGAGACATATCCCCAGCTGGAACGACAGCCGCCGCAATCTACTAAGGTAGGGTTTAGGGTTTGAGGTCCTGTACCGGTACCAGAGAAAGCTCTCATTGTTTTGCGTAGCTATCTTCGCACCTCCTTCCACTTTCAGCGGCATCAAACATCGCAAACTAAAAATGCCGTGGTACATTGGCTCTCGATGTGGCCTCGGGCACCCTCGGGCACTTGCGTAATGAATGATAACATGTGCGCAGGATCTTTGTATTGCATTTGATGGCTGCTCTGAGCGGCAGCTTACATTTTGGTGCTTGCTTGAAAAACCCCCTCAACATGAACTTGCGCTAGCAGAACCATTTGATGTTCGACCGCACTCAGCAAGCAAGATCCAAAGCTATTGCTATGTAGAAAGCCGCGTAAAATCCAGCAAGTAAATCCAGCAAGTTCTGCAAGCTAGAAAAGCCACTCTTTGTGCCAGGGCAGAGGCCTTTCCCTGTTCGAGCCCTTAGGAAACAAAGGGCCATATGAGGATTCTTCCTATTGAGGATTGTGTGTTCATTCCTCTCCCCTGCCCCTGAGCAGGTAAGTCTATGGACTCCAGCTCGAGCTCCGACCAGGTGAGCGATGAAGCGCTCTAGGCCAGTCAATGGGGGGTGGGTTATTGGGGTTATATAAAGGTTATATAGGAGTTATGTAGGGGGTTTCACCGGGGTCGTATGGGGGTTGTGTTGGGATAATGGAAAAGAAAATGGAAACTACTATAGTATAACAGGGTAATTTTTTTTTTGGGGTGTGTTAAGGGTGCAAATCTTTTCTTGCCGGCTTCAGACCTCCAGGCAAAGGAGCATGGCAGTGCCCCCTGCTTATGGCCCATATAGAGATGGCATTGACAATAGCTGCAGTGGCAACATTTTTTTCTAGGGTTGGTAGTCCCGCAGTAACACATGGCAGATGAAGAATGCGTTTGAACAGTGCCTGTTTGTGCAGGTGCGCAGTCGCCTGAGCCCTCTGGTTAATGGTTACATCTTCTGTCAAGAAGCCGGTGAAGCAAGGATGGTGGGAAAAATGATGAGAAGAACGGCAGCATGTAAGTGCGAACAATATTGGCGGCAGAGGTGGTCTGACCTGGTATAATTAGCCCAAAATAGGGCCCATGCTCCCAACCTTAGCCGTTGGCTTCACCGCAATGACACCCCGAAAACAGGGCTTCATACCCGACGCTTGCTATCTGCCTGCAGGCTTGCACTGATGACGGCTTAGGGTTTATGATCATGGCCCCTATGGGTGCCCTTCTCATGCAGTTTACATGCTTTTTGGGGTGTACATTCTGTAGGCATACAGGCAGTTAATGTCAAGAAATGTTCACCACGTAGTGCACATTGCAAAACAGAGAGAACTGGAAGACTCCACCCAGTTAGGTGGCCCTGATGGCGGCTCAGCAGGTAGTGCATATCCTTGAGGGTCCAAGGAGGGTATGTTGTGGAATGCGGAGGCTAAAGTTGATGTGCCTTGCAGAAGCTCATAGCTCATCTAATTCCACATCTTGTAGATGTTCGCTACTGCAATTGATATGTCCAGCTGTAATTACGATTTGTAAGCATACTGCGCCTTCTATAGCCTTTTTGCATTTCAGATGCAAGCAGGGCAGCTGGTGAGGGCTCAATTATGCCTTTTTGAAGCCACGTGGCAAGGAAGGGTGGCTGGGGACACAACTGACAACGATCACAGGCTATCACAGGTACAGTAAGCAGTGAATGCAGTGAAACATAAGATTACGGAGAAGGGGCTCCTTAAGCCTCATTTGGCTCATTCGGACTTCAGTGGCCTCAAGTGACGTGCGTGGCCTTCTGAACCCACCTTCCCACCTGGTCACATTGAGCCTGAAATTCTGCTATTGTTCTCCCCTTCCAATCTCGAAGCATGATAGGGGCACATACCCCCAAACCCATAAGCTTTCGATTTGTGTCCCTACCAGCTCCACACGTCGTCCTGTATCTGGGGTCTTCAAAAAAGCGGCCTGAATTCTTCAATAAGTCTCTGCAGCCTGCTGCACCTCCAAGTTAAAACTTGAAAAGGGCCCTGCAACAAAGGCTTTCCCTGTGAAAGCCTGTATGGGGTTCCATGCAGCCAAACAGCCCGTTACAGTGATTCCCGTTCATGCAGATGACATAAATTGCCGCGAGACTCGACGGTCGCATTGGCTTTCTTTGATGTGTATACAGCTGTATACATGTGGCTACTGTGCTGGAGTGGTATCTGAAATCAATAGCTGCGTGAAAGCCGCAGGTCACCACAGAAAGCTATGATTCTACCAAATCCCCCAAACCCGGCCCCCAGCACGAGGTGGGCAGTGTTGGGGGGCTTGAGGTGCTGATTGATCATATGATGCCAATGTATTAGCAAGGAAGTTTGGTCACACTTCAATAGCTGCTTGCCATAGTCAGGTGGCTTCGCTTAATTTGCTTATGCAGAATTCGTGTCTATGAGGGCACATGACCCTCAAGTTTCGGTGTTTTATGAAGCGCAGCTGATGGAGAGTCACGTTGTCGAATATGGCTGAGACTTGATGCATTTGGGGTCTCAGGTTTGCCCTGACGTCTTGCCGTACAGGGCCCCTTCAGCCATTGAACGAGTGGATGCCGATCGTGCTGTATGAAAGGACAACCAACTAGCTGCCAGAGCGATCTTTCAGCCAGCCATGAAAGGTCGTGGCCAGTCAGTCCGTACGAAGAGTTTTCAAGATGCACCCTGTGGGATAAGCCGCGCCACATAAACCCAGATAGACTGCATGTGTTGCGTAACATTGTGACGGACGCCGTGACAATCTCAATCATCCATGAAAATCTAAGGGTCTTGTTGCATGGCATGATGTCACATAAGTTCACCGAAATCTTGATGAAAGTTTGATGATGCCTGTAAGAGTGGTCTGGCGGCACTTATGCCCAGATGCAGTTTCAACAGCCTGTCGCCACCAGAGTGCAGGAATGTAAAACGCAGCGATCGCATGCGGATCCCGAATTCAGGCAATTGACTATCGTTCAGTCCAAGGCGTCTGAATGGGACAGCATGGATGGCATGCGGATGAAACCGCACAACCGCTCAAAAGGATTGCTCTGTGCAGCGCCGACATCCGCAAGACCGCCCTGTACTGTAGCATCCTATCACTGTAGACAGGACTCATGGAAGAAGCTAGCTGCTAGCTATCCCCGCTTGAGAGCATGTTCTTACAATCTGTTCACCATGTTGGGCCAATAGCTGTGATGATGACTGTATCTATGATCAATTCGTTGCTGCTGATACTTTCGCTGCTGTATGACTGCCGCAGTTTGCCCTGGCAGGCACCTATGCTGCTGATGAGTCAGCCTTCTTGGAAAGGCTTCACTTCAAGGGAAGCTGCGATCCGCAGCTCGCGGGGGATGCTAGGGTTACGCGTAGGGTTAGGGTTTGTGTGTTTGGGATTAACCCCCGAATTTTGACCCCAAAGGCAAACGCTCATGCTTGCAATTCTCATTAAGATACAGGTTTGCTCAGACTTTGTGGAGGCTTCTCTCAGTCCAAGGGAAGTGGATTGGCCACGCACTTCATCCTGACACATCATAATCACAAATTCAATCTTTCGCCATAGTAGCAACTTGTGCTTCGTTTCAGTTTCTTTGGTGCTGGGCAGTCGTTGGGCCTAAGCGAACGCTAGAGCAGTGTTGTGTCCAAAGAAAAACCATTCCTATTCCGGCTGTCTCTTGATGTGAGGTTCTGTACCAGTTGATTGAAAATGCGTAGCAAAGCTCTGCCCTGAGAGCCCAACCTATATCAAAGGACTAGCAGCAGTAACACACAGGAGGTAGAGGAAGAGGGAGAGGAAAGGAAGAAACAGAGGAGCGCTGGCACCACTCGTATTGTGAATGTCGCTGCGGCCGTCGCTGCTGCTGATGCTCTGCTACTGCTATCACTCGTGCTACACCACCACTACTACTGCTGCTGCTGCGGCTGCTGCTGCTGCCGCTACTGCTATTGCCGCTACCGCTACTGCTGCTGCTGCTACTACTACTACTACTACTGCTACTGCTACTGCTACTACTGCGACGACGACGACTACTACTACTACTACTACTACTACTCCTACTCCTCTACTTGTCTGCTGCTCCTGCTGCTGCTGCTGTTGCCGCTGCTGGTGCAGGAGTAAAGGTGACGCTGCCGCATCCGCTGCTCCTGCTGCTGCCGCCTGCTCTGCCTGCTCCTGCTGTCGGAACTTGCGTCGCAGACTGTCCATGGAAGCCACGTTGGCTGGGGGTCTTTCAAGGCCTCAACGCCTCAACGTTCTAGATGGTCGAAGGACCCTTGGAACAGATCCAACGCCGCAACGTAGTGGTCGTTATCTATTCCATTACTAGGTAAATGGGGATTTCCCACTTTCTTGTCCTCTGTTTGCGGACAATTAAGCAGGTGAACAGACAAGCCGAGCTCCTGCACACTAAGCTTTCATCCCCATGCCCAAGACCTGCAATGCTAAACCCCATGCCCTGAACTTTCTCGTAGGCGCTAGGCCCTTTCACGAAACTGTGGAGCCATGGCCTTGCCGACTGTCATGCGCCTCGGTGCAGAGGGCGACCCCTGGGCAATGAAGGCGATGCTTCGTTCTGGTTTGGGGGTTTGGGGGTCAGGATTAGGGTTTCAGGGTTAGGGTTTGCGTAGAGTTTACAGTGCAGTTCCCAAAATGAAGGATGCCTTTTCATGGAAATATTGGGGGAGGAGGATTTGCAGTCAGGAGGCAAAAGCCCCAAATCTTACGTACAACTACAGTCCCCTCTAGCCTTTGGACCAGAAACGTCCAGACCTGCCTGAGGCTGCGGGCTTAGGCGAACTATCAGGATGACACGGGTACTTGACTATATGGAGACCTGTTTTGCATGTAGCCACTTTGCAGGTTGTTTCGAGCATCCGGGAAAGCACGTCCCCATAGCATCAGTTCCTCATTACATGGGAAGAGTTCAACAGAGCATTGCTTGGACCCCACAACCACTTGTGCATGGGATCAGAAATCAATGTTCAGCACAAAGAGCTAAGGATGCGGCACAGTATCAATAG